CACTGCTGCTGTGGGCAGAAGGCTTGAGATGCACCAACCCAGATGTGCAGCCAGCGCTTGGATGACACCCGTGCCCTGTCCCACCCCGTGGGGGTTTGTGGGGCTGTGCTTGCAGGGTTCTGGGGGAGCCCAGGAACGGGCATGTGGTCAGTGGGAGCTGGATGGCTTCGAGGTGCACTGGTGGAGCTGAAGGGGGGGTTCCTGCACCCATCACCCTGGGCATGGTGCTGGTGGGTGCTGATGATGCTTGGCTGCCCTGGGCTCCTGGCCAGCACTCCTTCCCAGTGCCCGGGAATAACACTCACGTCCCTGCTCATATCCCAACACTGTGCAGTCAATGAGCAGACAGCATTGACTGTAACAGGTTAGTGATGATGATAATTGATTTTAATTCTTCCTCCTCTTCCCTGTCTTTTCTAGAGAGCCCAGTGCAAGCGTCGCGGGAGGAGCTGGGCTGAATAAGAGGTATGGAGGGTTCGGATCCCAGCGGCCGCGTTGGGCTCTGCCTTGGCTGCTCCTGGGGTCCGTCCTGCACGCTGAACCTGCATGTGTGGGGCTGGCAGTGGGGGCTTGGCATGGGGCCGGCCGGGGCAGGGCAGCACCCTCAGCCTGTGGCTCAGGGATCGGGCAGGGGCTGGTGGGCACAGAGCTGTGCTCGGGGCAGGGATGGGAGGAAGGCTGCCCCCTCCCCTCTGCCAGCAGCCCCCGGCTTCCCCCACGCAGGTGTGACACGAATCCTGCATGAGGAGAGCTGAGACTGACGTGCCTGTGAGTGTCTGTGTGTGCTGACTTGCTGTCTGTCCGTACTCTGCGGCTCCCAGGAGCCATCCCTGGAGGAGCCAGGATCCTTGTCCTTACTGGGGGCAAAGAGCAGCCCACAGCCCCATTCTGACACGGACCTGGCAGTTGCCCACCACAGGATGTTTGTCCCCAGGGTTCTGGGAGGCGTCACAACAGCTCACAGTGTCCCCAGGCTGAGGCAGGTCATGGCTGATGTGTGTGAAAGGTGGACCAGAGCAGGTGCCCTCTGCCAGCCTGGTGCCTGGTGGTCAGGTGTGCATGGCTCCTTCCTGCCCCACCCTCACTTTACTGGACTTTGCAGCAGTAGGAGGACCCCATCAGAGAGGGGACATTGCATCCTCCCAAGGCCCATCCCACTGAGTACAATGCTCCCCCATCAAAGCCAGTGAAGCAGAGGAGCAAAGAAAGCTGAGGGGCTGGAGAGGATGAGGGTGGTGCATCCATAGCTCTGGGCCCTGGCATGGGCTGGGGGTGCCAGTGGGACCAGGGGGTGATGGGGGCCAGGGCAGTGGCACTGTGCTACAGGAGCTGCCTACATGCAGAACATTGAAGAGGTGTCTGGCAGAGGAACACTCCCATCCTTGGCACATACAGGACAAGGAAGGAGGCGACCTGCTGGGAGGGGATTGTGGTCTGGAAGAGTCCTGAGATCCCGTGGGAAATGTGGAAAAAGAGCTGCTAGCAGGAGCAGGAAGGCTGGGTGGGAGCAGGGCTTGCAGGGAGCCAGGATGAACTGGAGGGAGGAAGGCTGGGCTGTGACTGTGGGCCTGGGGGACATGTGCTGCTCAGCCACAGGGGGAGGGCTGTGGGGCCGGGCTGCCCTCGCCCGTGTGCCTGCTGATGTCCTGGTGGTTCACTTGCTGTGCTGAGAAGGGGCTGTGCTCCCTCCCAGTGCCCTGCTGTGTGTGGGGTCGGAGGGCACAGGTCAGCCCTGGGGCTGTGGCCACTGTTGTGTCCAGAGGAGGGGAGGGCAGCGGGATGGGTGTCCTGCAGCTCAGCTGCCCCATGCCTGCTCTGGGTGAGAGCTCTGGGATCTGGCACAGGGATGTTTATGCAGGTGTGGGGGGCTGCAGTGAGAGGAGGTGGAATGGTGCTGGGAAGACAGCTAGGGAGGTGCTCCTGCTGCTGTCCCTGCCCAGTGATCCCCAGGTTTTGTCTGCTGCTGATGGAGGGGTTTCATTCTGCTGCACTGGGCCCCTCTGTCTGTCCCATACAGCAGGGTTGGGGGTCTGGCAGGCGGGGGGGGGGGGGTCCCAAGTTCACAGCTGGGGCTGCATTTACAGGGCACAGAGAGGAAAGGGTTTGGATCACTGAGATATAAGAGGGAGCAGGGAGCCCCCCGCCCCAGCTGCCTGCAGTAGTGCCTCTGCTGCTTTATCACCCTCTCCTGGTGCTGAATTATTGAGAGTGTTGCTCTCGTTTATTGCTGTGCTGGAGGAGAGCTGCTTCCATCCTGGTGCTGCTCTGAATATGATTATGGGGCTGTAGATGTCAGAACCAGCTGGGCTCTGGAGACCAATCTGCTGCCCCCCTCACTCCTCTGCTTCCCTTATCCTTATTTATTCCCTCACTACCACGCCTGGTTCAGCACTCGTGGTCCCCTTGCTCCTTCCACTGCATGCCCCTGGAGGACGGAGATTTAGTGCCCGAGGAGCAGCACTGCCTGGCTGCCAAGCCTGCACTGTGCCGGGGCAGCTGGGGCTGGTGTGCAGGACCCCCTGACCTATCCCCAGGGCCCACGCCGTGTCCAGCCCTTCGCTGTGTCCTCTGTCCCGTCCTGCTGCTCTCTCCCAGCATCTGCTGGGGGGCAGTGCTGGGGCTCAAGGAGGGAGTGGCTGCCCTGGAGCTGGTTGGGATTTCTGGGTGCCCTCTCGTGCAGTCCATGGTGGCCACATCCCGAGCTCCAAGGACTGTCCCCATGGCTCCCCAGTGCACTTGGGGGCTGGGGGCTGCTGGCGCTGTCTCCCTCGGGCCGCTGCTCGGCTTCTCCAAAAACAAGGGGGTGCTGGGGCTCCCGGGACAGATCCTCCCAGGTGGAGCACGGCTGAGCATCCCTGCCGGCCAGGCCCAGCGATGGGAGCCGGGGGTTCTGGCATCCACCGCGGCCGGGAGCCGGCTGGCACCTCGCAGGTTAACTGTGAGCGGCGGATTCCCTTATTGACAGGGTAGCTTGAAAAATGCTGAGGCAGGACATCGGTTCCTCGGAGTGTTAGCGGAGCCCACGCTGCGCCAGCGAGCGCCCACACTGCCGCTGCCGTGGCCCCCAGCGCCCAGCCCGGTCCCGGACCCTCTCCCCAGCACCCCACTCACCCCTGGGGCTCACCATTCCCTTTGGTCCTCGAAGACACCGCAGAGGATTTCATTTTTTTCTTCCTCTCCCATTTTTCCCCGGGTGGATAAGGCGCAGCGCAGCGGGGCTGGCCCGGCTGTCCGGTACCGGGGGCTGGACCCGGCTCCGAGCGGCTCCGAGGGCTCCGGGCACTCACCGCCGGCCCTCGGCACTGGAGCCGGACAGCCCAAGGGGACAGAGCCACCCCGGAGCAGCGGTGGCCGCACCGGGAGCAGCCCATCGCCCTCCCAGTGACCTCCGCAGAGCGCCTCAGCCCCGCCGCTGCCATGATGTATTTTTGGGTAGGTACCGCTGCCAAGGGTGGGCACTTCCCTCCCTGTCTGCTGAGGTATCGCTCAGGATTGGGGTGCTTTTGCCCTCCCTGGCTGTGCCACCATCCAGGGAGAGCTTCCCCCTGTGGTCAGCCACGCAGTGCCCAGCGCTGGCAGCAGCAGGCAGGGGCTGGGCTGCGCTGCTGGGGACAGGCCTGGCACTGGGAAGGACCAGGGCAGCGGGCAGGGGTCCCTGCCTGGGCATCCCCAGCTGCCCTCCTGCTTCTGCACCGCCCTGTCTAGGCTCCGTGTGGTGCTGGCCGTAGGCAGAAGCTGCCTCCCCTGCCCAGCACCAAACCCCTGCCCCAGCTGTACTGGGGGGGTCACTGGTGGGCTCTGGCTCCTGCCCGAGGGCTGTCCTGGGAGGGGGCATGGGTCTGTGCTGAGAGTGGGACATTCAAGTGACAACTCTGTGTGGAGCAGCAGCCCCCTTTCACAGTGTCCACCCAGGATCTTGACAGATGCTTATGGGGCAACCCCCACATTTTATCCCAGGCCTGAAATTCCTGAGGCTACTGAGGGGATCCTACCATGGGGACCCTGAGCTCCCTGAGATCCCCTTGTGGACCCTCCACAGCAGTCCCTGCTCAGGGGTTTGAGGCGTGGGGGGATGTGTACCCTACTGAGCCCAGAGCGAGGGGCATGGCTGGGGAGTGGGCTGGGCACAGGGGCTCAGCTCTCCCTGCTCTAGCAGAGCACAAGGCCATGGCTGGACAGGGGACAGGCTGAGACCTACCCAAACATGTCAGAGCTTGGTGCAGGGATGGAGGGGAGGGGACGGGACAGGGTCTGTCCAGGCCCTTTGCTTGGGCTGGACACTCAGTGTGGGGGTGAGCCCCAGTCTGGGTGCAGCTGGGACAGTGAGCAGAGGGCAAGGAGCTGGAGCCAGCAGTGCCCCATGGAGCTCCACTCCCTCCCCAGAGCTGCAGGAGCTGGGCTGTATCAGGCTCTGCACCACCCGAGGGTCTTCCCATGGCATCCTAGCCTACCAACTGGGGCTGCAAGCATGTGGCACCTGCTCCTTCCACCTGCTCCCTCCCGCTCCATCTGAGGTGGTGAGGGGCAGGGGCAGCAGCAGTCTGGTGGGGCTTACATGCTCCAGGGAGTTGTGCTCCCCTGCATTTGGGAGCAGGGAACAGAGTGGGCAGAGACAGGCAAAGGGGGATGTGGGGAAAGGAGCTTATGAGGAGGAGGAAGAACATACTGGGAATTCATTTTTTCTCAGGAAGCATTTTTCAGGTGTAAGGTGCTTTGTCATGAGGGATGTCGGCGCTGCCATGGCTCCAGCGCCTGTCAGGGCTGGCACAGCCTCCTGCCTCGGTGCTAATTCTGCCCAGGGACTGAATAACCCACCACAGCTGCAAGAGCAAAGCAGAGCTGGGTGGCTTTGCAGAGCTGGGCCTCGCAGGCACGGGCAGCGTGGGGTGCCCGTTCCCACGGAGCTCCAGGCACAGCATCCCACACCGCACTGGCTGTGGGGCAGTGGCACTCCAGAGTCCTGTTCCCTGTCCCCTGAGGTGCACAGAGCCAGGCAGCCTCTGCTGGAAGGGCAGGGCGAGGGCTGTGCTCCCGGCAAAGCCGTGAGCGCCATTTCTTGGCGTCGTGGGCATCTCTCCGTGGCGGCGTGGGAGGAAGCAGAGGGTCTGGTATCCCTGTGTGACAGGAGCACCTCAAGGGGTCGAGATGCCAAAGCAAAATGTCTTCAAATTAACAGTACTTCCAGATAAATTAGGTGTGTGTGGGGCAAGGGGAAGAAGGGGTCTATAAATACTCAGATTTATAAAGTGTGCCCTGGGTCACAGCACCTGTTTAACACTAGCATCCTCTCTGTGCATTTAAAAAATCTTATGAGGATGGAGTGTTTGCTTCTGGAGTACCTCCAGCCTGGTGTTCCCCCGTGCCCACTTCACCTGTCTGCTGCTCGGGTGGGTCCCAGCCCAGTGCTACTGCCCACCCTGGCAATGCCTGCTTGGGGTGGCTTGGACCCCTCCTGTTGTGTGCCATGTGCTGGCACCCTGGGGGCTGCTGCTAAAGCCTCCCAGCAGCCTGTGAGGCACAAGGCTGCCAGTTCAGAAGGAGCTTTTTTTGGGAACCCTTTGTCAGGCAGTGAGCTGGTCTCAGGGAAGAGGGGGACCCTGGGAATGTGGCATTTCAGGTTCCTGGTCTGCAGTTGCTCCTTTCCTTGCATCATCCTCCATCAGTCCTTCCTCCTTCTCGACCTGTGCTGGGCCTGGTGGTGCTGGTGGTGGCCCCAGGCTTGGTGGTGGCCCTGGTCCCAGCAGTGGTGGCCATGGTCCTGGCCCTGGTGACCTGCCAACACGGTACATCCATTTGCACTGCTCACCTGGCCTGTGGGCTCGAGGTGTTCAGCAGCAGCTGCTCTGCCACAGTGCTGTTGCTGCATGTTAATTCTCATTAAGTCCAGGGAGCCTAATTGCCATTTCATGTAAATATTTTGCCAAATGAAAGGGGCTTCAGGAAGGGTGGCGTGGGCAGAGGTGAGGAGCCAGGCACAGTGACAGGCTCCAGCCCTTGCTGCCCAGACAAGGGTGTCAGCTGTGTCCCCGTGGAGCTGCCCCGTGTCTCCTGCAGGCAGTCAGGGCGTGGATGGGACTGGCTGCTGGAGGTCCCTGTGTCCCTGTTTGTGCTGGATGATGGGGACAGGGGATGGCTGCAAGGAGGTGCCATCACGTGGAGAGCACCAGGGCTCCTTTCCCTGCCCATGTGGCTCGAGGGCAGAGGAGAAGGGGTGACACAGGCGGCTGTGGAACATCCCCAGGTGCTGGCCCAGCTGCTGTCCTGTTCTGCGCAGTGCTGGCAGCTCTGGCCAGAGGCTGGCAGATCCCCAGGCCCTTCCTGTTCCCCCACAGTGGGTCAGGAACACTTATGGGGTGGTTTTTTTCCCTGGATCCCATTACACTTCCATGTGCTTTCCCTCCGTTCCTGCTTCCCTCCTGCTGCCACAGCTGCTGTCTCAGATACTGGCTGTGGTTCAGTGCAGTCCCCTCCTCACCTGGTGAGGTCATACCTGGGTGCTCCATCTTTAGGAATTCAGAGCAGCCACTCAGAGTGTCTCCAGTGACCTCTGAGAGCTGCTGGAGGAGGAGGAGGAGGGAGCAGGGAAAGATGGAGAGGTTTAAGAAGTGCCAAGGAGGCTGGTCAGTCCCTTCTCGCTGTCCTGGTCCATGCCCTAAGTTGGGGCCATCCCCGTGGCCAAGGTTCTGGGGACATGGGACCTTCCTTGCTGCACAGATGTTCTTTGTCACACAGCAGCTCAGATCTGTCAATGCCTTCATCTAATTGCTTGATGTCTTTGAATAACTACTAATGAGCTTTTAATTAATGAATGCCTGGGCTTGGGGGCATTTTGGAGTGGGTGGGAGGAGAGGATTAGGTTGGTACCGCTGTCCCTGGCAGCTGGTGGGCTGCCAGCACTGCACTCACAGGATGACCCCAGGGAGGCCGGAGCACCTGATCTCCCTGGTCCAGCCTCGATGGCCCTCGTGGCAGAGGTCATGTCTGCCTGATCTGCAGCCCTCCTTGGCAACTCTCATGAGTGTCAGCATCTGGCTTTGCCACGTGGGAGAGTGCTGCAGGGACCCCGGGGTCCTACTAAACACTGGAGCCCCTGGGACACGCAGTGCCCCCATGGCTGTGCACTGTGCCCCCATGGCAGGTCCCGGGCACCGCACTGTCCCCTCTGCTGGGAGAGGATCCGCAGGGCTCCCAGGGTCGGAATCTGGGCATGGAGCTGGGCCAGGTCTGGGCTGGCAGCAGCTCTGACAGGTGCTCAGTGCTCGGTGCAGCCCCGTGCAGGGCTCTTGGCACCTGGATGTGCCGCAGCCGTGCCACCGCGTGCTCAGCAGGGCTGGGGCACGGGGCTCCAGGCAGACCCCTGGGCCTCGTTCCTCATGGATACATTTCCCAGATGGAGGAGGCCTGAACTTTTCTGGCATTTCCCAAGGAGAGGGTGGCACCTCACTGCTGCCTCAGGCACCTCCCAGCAGCTCTGCACTGTGCAGCGGGTCCCTCCCGGTGCCTGGAGCAGTCAGATGTGCTGCACTGTCCCTGGCAAGTTCTCTCAGTGCTTTGGGGGTACATGCCCACCAGTGCTCCCAGTGCAGACTCTGTCCCTTGGCTCCAGCACCCAAACAGTGGCCAAGACCACTCCTGTCCCAGTGCCATTGTGTTCTCCCTCTTCCAGAAAACAAAATCAAGGAGCCCTGAAGGGTTCATTTAAAATAAATAAAAAATTGGGAATTGTGCTGATTTGAAGGAAAGGCAGCCCCATCCTGAGCAGGGGAGCGCAGCGCCAGCCCAGCCCCAAAGGGCAGAGAGAGATGTGCTGAGAACTGCAGCCCTGTGCAACTTCAGCCTTTGATCGTATATCTCACACGTGCCCTTTGCTTTCCCTCTGCTGATATTTATTAGGTTTAATTTTACTGGGACACGGCTGTAAGTGAGACAGATGGAATGGGGTCTGTGCGCCTGGTGAACACATCTTAATTAAACAGATAAATAAACTTTCATTCCAGGAGGCTTCAGTTTCGGAGGTGCTCCTCCAGGGCTGCGGCTCTGCGGAGCTGGGCACAGCCCTGGTGCCACCACCCGTGCTGTTGGCTGGGACTGTGGCACAGCGCTGCTGGGAGCAGCAGGGTGAGAGAACGCAGCCAGTTTTGCCAGCATGGTGTTCCCACTGGAGCTGACTGGGGACTTGGTGTCATCTCACCTGGCCAGTGTCCCCCAGGGCTCCCCGCTGCAGAGGGACATCTCTGCAGCCAGGCACGCGTTGGTGATGGCAGGAGAAGGGAGAGAGGAGACTCCAACACTCCTCAGCTCCCAGAGCTGTGCCCATTTCGCTGCTGGCTCAGGGCAGTGCCAGCACTTGTGGTGCTGCCACTGGCCAGGAATGCCTTTGAGTCACCCTGGCCGGAGTGGCGCGGGGGAGGATGGGCAGATTACCTCATCCTGGAGCCAGTTCCTGCCTCACGTGGTTTGCTTCAGTTGGGCACTGCAAGGCCAGTGTGCCAGGCTGTGCCCTGCCGTTGTCACCTCCAGGAGCTGCAGTGGAGCCAGACCAGCCCAAGGCCTTTGGCACTGCGTGTTGGCCAGCTCAGAGTGCCCCCACCCTTGCACCAGGGTCCGTGTGGTGCTTGGGTTCGTGCGGGTTCCTGGGGGAGCCCCTCTCCCCTCAACTGCCTGAAGGACTGTGAGGGGACACACTTGTCCTTTCAGAGCTGTCCCACATCCTTCCCCAGGTGCTGGGGTACACAGGAGGACATGGCACCCGGGGCATGGGGGTCCCTGGGAAGGGAACCTGGAGACCAGCAGGAGAGTGGGGTTTGAGCACCATGGTGTGCTGAAGGGGCCACTGCATCTGTTGTGATCCTTGGAGCTGGAAGGGGAGTGGCTGTGGTGGGCACCCACGGGGAGCAGTGCCTGGGGATGCTGTTGGTAGCAGATGCCACTGCTGGACCTTTTTGGTGCCTGGTACCACAAGGTGGTGGTGGTGACACAGCCTCTTCCTGGCCTGGCATCCCCTCCCTAATCTGGGTCCCTGCAGTCCCTTTGGAGTGGGTTCCCCCCAGTATCAGGACACCCTGGGAGGGGCTGCCACCCCCTTGGCCTCACACAGCACATTCTCAGGATGGCTCTTCCGGACCTGTGTGCAGCAGGCTTTCCTGTGGCTCTGGGCTGGCCATGCCACACACTGCTGCTCTGGAGTGTCTGCAGCAGGAGCCGTAACTGCTGCGAGTGTACCAGGATACTGCAGCATGTCACTCTGCCTGGGGATACTGTGGAAAATCCCAGCTCCAAAAGGCTGGTCGTGTGCTGGAGGCTCCGGCAGAGACAGAGCATCAGCAGCTGCTGGCACAGCCCTGCCTTTGTGCATCACATTTGGCCAAGATGGAAACTGAGCCGAGCCCAGGTTTCGTTTCCTACATGCCCCAGCACAATGCCAGCCTGGCAGCCTGGGCACTGCCATGGCTCCGGAGCTGCAGCGAGGTGTGGGCACCAGGGAGGGACCCCGTGGCGGTGCCGGGGCTGCTGCGGGGCCCGGATGGGTGGCGGTGGGACGGGACCCGAGCGAACACACGCGGCTGTCCCTCGCGGGCACTGGCACGCAGGCTATTGCCATGGCAGCTGTGACAGCGGCCAGTGTGGTGGGGATGCGTCAGGGCTGCTGGCAGCGCCGCCGGGCCCTCGGAAACGCCAGAACACCTCCGGAGCTCTGCCGGGGCTGACCTCTGCCCGCCACTGGGCGCTTCTTGGGGCAGAGGGTCCCCATCGCTCTGGGGAGCGCAGGGAAGACAGTGCCAGTGGGCAGGACCCTCGTGTCACCCCAAGGGGCAGGGGTCCCCGCAGCCCTCCGTGCCTGGGAGACTGGCGGGCGGTTGGGGGGCTCAGAGGGCCCTGCTGGGGCTCCCACAGCTTGGCAGGGTTGAGCAGCGGTGCCCGGGGCATGCGGGCAGCAGTGAGGTGTGGCTGGTCCGGCAGGGACGGCTGCGGGGCCGTGCGGGCCGGCGGCTCCGGGAGGCGGAGCCGGGGCTGCTGCACGGCTCCCGGGCCCGGCAGCGGCGGCGTCTCGCAGCGAGAGCGTGGCGGTGCGCACGTGTGCGGCGGAGTGTGCACGGGGGAGTCCCCGGCAGCCCTGCCACCGCCGCTGCCCGCACGGCTTCCCGCGGCACCGCGCTGCAGCGCCGGAACTCCCGGTAAGAGCCTTCCTCCCCTGGGAGCCAGCGCCGGGAAGGCAGACGGCTCTGCCCGCCCGGCCCCATCCTGCCCCGATGCTTCCCCAGCGTGTGGCCGGGGTGGCGAGGGCGGCGGGGAAGCCATCTGCAAAGCGGCGGCGCTGGAGGGGTTAAGTGCGGGATCAGCTGTTCTCATGTCATTACGGATTCTCTTCATTTTATACAGAGCTCTGTTTGATGTCTGAATGCACAGGGGACTCCCCCTCCTCCTCCAACTCCCACCCCTTTTATTTCGCTCCCGAGCCCTCTCTCCTTCCTCCTCCCCTTCCTTTCTCTCCCGCTCCGCTCTGGCTCACGCACACCCTTTGCAGACCGTGCGCTCAGTGCCAGTGTCTAATGGCCCCGAAGTGAAGAGCCAAGCGCTGCTCCGGCGGCGGCGCGGCCGGCCTGCCGCAGATGAACCCTCCTAACTAGCGCCGAGGGGTCGGGAGGGACGGCGAGGAGGGGAGAGCCCGAGGGGCCAGCCGGGAAGACGAGGATAGCGGTGGATAGCAGTGTGCGGAAGAGGACGGACCCGCGAACAGCTCCACGGCTACCTGTCGACACATGCTGTGCTCCATGGCTAACTCGGGCTGCCTCCTTGTCTCCAACTCAGGCATGCTTCCTCACTCTCTCCCCTGTCCTCCAGCCTTCCTCTACCTCCAACAGGTAAGCCACCCTCTCCAGGGGATTTTTTTGCTTTCCGTGCTTTCCGGTTCGCACGTGTTTCTGGCTGGTTCCCTCTTGGCAGAGGGTAAGAGCTTGACAGCTTCCTGCCAGCCTCCCCACTCCAGCCCCACGGCAGTTCTGCCCGCTCGGCTTTTGGGGTTTCTCCGGGTTCCCCGCCGTGGTGGCAGGAGCACGGCCGGGGCAGAGGCGCGGGCAGTGCGGCAGGCAGAGCCGCCGGTGCGGGTCCAGCGCCTCCCCGCCTCGGCGCTGCTGCCGCTTGGCGATGATGGATGCTCGGGTGAAGGAACGAGGCTCCTGTGTGGCCTGAGCAGAAGGGAAGGTGATGAGCTCATGCGTGCACACGTGTGTACACGTATGTGTGCGTGTGCTGACGCTGCGCTCGGGCGGGCGCGGGTCTGTCCCGCTGTCACTGGAAGGTGCTGCAGGGGGACTGGGGACACGTGGTGCCAGGCAGGTGCCGAGCTTGGGCAGCCCAGACGGAGCCTGCTGAGGTCAGTGTGGTCCTTCACCTGGGCCAAGGTTTTGCTGTCCCACAGAGCTACCCTGATTCCTGTGCTGGACCCTGAGTGCCGGGTTTCTGGGCCCATCATCCCAGGGGAAGCGCAGCTTGGGAGAGGCAGCATCTTCCTCAAATGCCTCTGTGCTGCATCGGAAATCCCGTCTCCCAGCCAGGCAAACCGCTCCATTTGTGCTTTCAAGAGTTTAAAAATTCATGGCATCCTCCCTGCACTTGGCGTGGCCGGCGCGGTTCACCCAGCAGCGAGGACAGGCACACAGGTGCCAACCCTCCACCCCAGTGAGAAAGGCTGGGGAGTGTTTGGTCCCTTGGGATGTCTGTGGCCGGTGTCCGAGTGGGGTCATGGCCAGAGTGTGGCCAGCAGTGGTGGGGATGGCGAGGCCCAGGTCGCTCTCCTGTGCTGGTGGTGGGCCAGGGAGGCTGGTGTGGCTGCACAAGCGTGAGCACGGGGTGTCCAGGGGCTGCGGCAGGGCTGCCGAGGCGGGCGCATGATTTATTGCACCCTCCTTCAGGCAGAGCCCGGGGACAGCCAGTGCTGGATTTCACTCTTCCCAAAACTGCACTGTGGTCCCTGTGGCTGCTGCACATCTGACACTGAGCAAAAACTGTCCCTGAACCCCCACCCGTGCAGGGATGGTTTCTGTTCCTGTGAAGTATGCTTTGGACTGGCAGCCAGTGTAGGGCCCAGAGCCTGTCTTGCAGCATGGGAGATGTCCCTTTCCAGCTGGGATCCCCCTGTCCCTGGCCACATGAGGGGCTCAGCTGTTGTGTTCTCTTACCCTGCGGAGCACTCTGGTGTGGATTGGCCTGGGTCTGGCAGCACCGGCAGTGGCAGCACGGCCAGACGGATGCTGGCAGTGCTGGCAGGGCTGGGCAAAGTGGAGCTGCGGGTCCCTGGGAAGCAGCAACTTTCCTGGGTGTACGGCTCTGCACCCTGCACCCAGTTCCCCCTGCCTGGTTTGATTTGACCGTTGTGTTCTGCATCTCTTCCTCCCTGCTCTCCCAGAAGCCTCCTGCTCCTTGGCAGCAGCTCTGGACTTGCAAGCCAGGAGGAGGGTTTTATTACAGGATTTGGAGTTGGATTTTTACCCGGCTGATGAGCACAATGGAGGTAAAAATCTCCGTCCTCATCCTGGGGTTTATCCTGTCCTGAGGTTCTGCACCCAGCACTTGGGGACAGGTGTTCCTGATGCATGTCACAACAGGCATCAGGGACAGGGACATCACTGGCGGCCAGAACGTGGGGCAGAGGCATGGGCCCTGCGCAGCTGATGGGCCCCTCAACGGGTGTGCCTGGCACCTGCTTTAGCTCTGAATTTGCACCGAGTTTTAGGCTGTCCACCTGTGCTACCCGCACCCTAGGAGCACACGGAGCAATGCTGCTTCTGCCTCTGCACACGTGCCCACCCCAGAGCTGGCTCTGGCCAGCTGGCCTGGCTCACCTCTGTGTAGCAGGGACATCTGAGAGGGTTCAACTCTCCCTGAGTTGGCTGTGCCATGGGGTCTGGGGGGACTTGGTTGTGACCCCCTGGCTTACAGGTTCCTGTCCAAACCCTTTATGGGTTTGTAAGGAGGTGTACCATGATAAAGTGCCTGAGCCAGTGCCCAGGACTGAGTCTGCTGGGCTGGCCAGTCCGTCAAGAGCTGGGACATGCCTGGGTCTGCATGCAGTAACTGCCCTCGTCCCCTTCAGTTCACACAGTGCTCTCCCTACCAGGAGCCTGTGGCTGGGTTGGTTCCCGAGGATGCTGCTGATGTTCCATCGCTCCCAGCCCCAGCATTTTCAGCTGTACTGGGATTTGAAGGAATGACCAAGTAATGAAATTCTCAGCAAAACTTCAGTTCTTCCAGCACCAGGGATGGCTCAGCAGTGCCAGTGGATCTTCCAGGTGCTCTGGGTGCCTCTCAGCTCACTCTGCTCCACTTCTCCCATGTGGCCACCCTGGCCCGGCCGCAGGAGCCGTGGCCTGTGGCATTCCAGGTTGTGCAGCCACACTGTGCCCAGGAGCTCTGCCTGGCACTGTCGTGCTCCAAGACCAGGACTTCTGGAGGGCTGGAGGGCAGGGGCCATGGGAGGGTGGGTGCATGTCTGCAGCAGAGCAGCCTGGGCCAGCGGGAATGCCCCCCATTTTTGGTGAGACTTGGCAGGGACATTTGGCTCTTGCTCAGTGAGGGTCTGGGTGTGGAAGGACTCTGGTGGCTTCGTTTTGTTAACAGAGGATTCAGTCACTGCTTGAAGCACATCTCTGATGTTGTGAGTGAGCAAGTGATGGCTGCAGGACAGGGCTCAGTGCTGACCCAGAGCAGACCTGGGCTCTGAGGCTCAGCATCAGTGCCGTACCCTGGCACCGCCCTGGTGCAGCCCCAGCCCCGTGCAGGTCTGACCCCAGCCCAGGCTGATGTACAGGTGTGCTGAAGCCCTGCAGTGCTGCCCCTGGGATGCTCCTCACTGGGAACATCCCCGCTGCTCGCAGTCACACCACAGCACAGGAGACTTGGCTGAGCAGCGCCTAGCGCGCCGGGAAACAGCCTCTGCAAATCCTGCTTGGAAAATTCCTTTCCAAAAGGGCTGCTGCCAAGTTTAGCATGTTATATTTTTAGGGAGCAGGTCTATTCCAAGCGGTGTTGCCGTGTGTTGCAGCAGCGGGTTCGTTTCAAACCGGGTTTCTCCCCCTGCCCAGGCGTCGCACGGCTGCGGACCTGGCCCGGCAGCTCCCGGCTCTGGCCGTGCTGTGCCAGCTGCCCTGCTCCATAAGGACAGGCCTTAAAGCCCCAAAAACATGTTTCCTGGTTCAGTTCTTTTGTATTGAAAACACTGACATTCATTTTAGCTTTGCAAAGCTGCTTTTCCCACAATAGCTGTGGTTTTGGCCCACACTGCCTGGCAATGCTCTTTTTATAGGTATATTCCTATTTTTATGCTATAGCGATGGGTGAATGAGTAGATTAAATTAGATTTAGTATCTGTCATTCTTTAAACCATCACATGCACTTGGAGGGGGGAGTGTAACAAAGAAAAGCTAATTAGAAGAGTGGGTTCAGGCCACCTCCACCAGTTCCACCAGCTGCACCATCCCTGGCCCTGGGGCTGCCCCCACTCAGGGGCCACCCTCCACACAGGAAGATGCTTTTGAAACATAATTGTCTTTGCAGCCCCCAGGCCAGGCCAGGCCAGCTCCACGGTCTGCAGCCAGGGCTGGGCAGGGTGCTGGGTGCTGCTGGGCACCCCAGGCACCACCAGGAGTTTCAGGGTCACTTGGCTGCCCGGCTGCTTTCCCCACAGGGATGAGGGCTCCTGTGTCTGTGGGACAGTGGGCTTCCATGGAGGGGCACCAAGGGGCACTGTAGCCCCCCGGGAAGGGCGTTAGTCACTTCAGTGCCACTGGTTTTTGTAGGCAGGTGTGGGGCTGGGTGCTGGAAGGACGTAGGGAGCTATGCCAGTGTTGGTAAGGCTGGGAAGGGTGTCTGGGCACAGGAGAACTAGATGTCCAAGGAGGAAGCTGGATCTTCCAGTGCTGGTGTGAGCCTAGCAGCGTGTTGTCAGCGGCTGTGCAGTCCTGGCTGTGCCATGGCTACTGACCCAGTGACATGCCATTGCCACTGAGCAGGCTGGGAGCTGTGGGTGGCAGCTGTGAGCTGCTGCAGGGTTCACCCCTCCACTGGCCATGGGCAGCCCTGGCAGGGCTTTAAGCTGCACCACCTCCCTTGGCATTCCAGGGGCCAGGAGAGAGCAGTGTGCCCCCTCACTGCCTGGAGCATCCCAGCAGGTGAAGAGTTTGTGGTGGCCCCCGCAGTGCTGTTGGCATTGCCTGCAGGGGTTGGGTGCTGTTCCCAAATTCCATACAAGCCCTGCTGTGCCTAGCCACGATCCACACCCAAGTTCTCACCACAGCCTTCAAACAGCTCCTGCGGAAAATCAAAACTGGGGAGAAAAGAGTGGGAGCAGGCGACAGTGGCAGCTTATTTGTGATCTGCATTGTGTGGGGAGCCCTTAATTAGAGGTAATTAGACTAATTAACTTGCAAATGAGAAACTCGTCTTTTTCTCCTTTTCTTTTGCAAGAAAAAATAGAAAAGACGAACAACAAGATAAATATTGAGGCTAATTACATTGTACCTGCCACAGACCCCTCCAGCCTGGCGCTGTGTGCCAGCCCTGTTCGAGTGTCCTGCGGTGGCTGTCCCCACTCAGGGCTGGTCACACTGCCAGGCATGTCCCTGTGACCCCCGCTGGCAGAAAGGGACCACTGGGCACCCCCTGCACACCCAGCAGGGACACGGTGTGTGTCCAGGAGCCGCTGGGGACAGTGGCCTCCATGGTATCAGCCATTGCCAGGACCCAGGGGCCAGGCCCTGGCAGTG